ACTCAATTTTGAGAAAAGTCTGAATTCTGAGATGTAAACTCATTTTGAAAAAAGTCAAAATTGCAAAATATTAACCCAAATTTGTGATTTTTCCTTTTCATCCTGTGGCAAAAACTGCCTTCCAAAAAGAGAAATATCGTTGCATCATATTAGTTCCATATGTAACATTGGTCCAATAAAACTTTCACTCTTTGCATAGTAGCTTCTGCGAACACTCGCACTTCTCTCTGTCAGTCTCCTTTGGGTTTTGTGGCAAACTTAGAGTTGAGTGGTTGTTTGTTAGTAAAGACAGGTGCAGGCCTCACCCCACCACACACACACGCACACGCACACACACACACACACACACAAACACACACACACTTGCACTCACGCGCACACACACACAGTATAAACAGACCCAGTAGAAAGGGACTGGTCTGACAGAATGCCTTTTCACACCTGACTGGGCCTAGCATAGGGCGACAGGCCAGAGCTCCCAAAGCACACACACACTCACACGCGCACACACACATGGGTATCTGTACTGTATTTAACTTTGAGCCCTCTAGACTCCAGGATAGTTTAAAGGCCTTAAAGACCGTCTGTTGAGGGTGACTCAATTTAAGTACCTACACACACAAACAGAACCAGGGCAGGACCCAGAGGATGAAAGTAATGCACAAGCAGATGGACTCAGCCCAGCAGAACCAAGTGGACCTGTAGGAAAGCATCACACACTCTTTTAAAACCCTTATAAAGCCTGCAGACCCGGGCGACAGTCAGCATATGTTGTCCATGGTCAGGCACTGACACAGGCTAAAAACAGCAACTCACTTTAACAGCAAAAAAACCTGAAGCTGAACAAAACAACTGTGCAAATATTTTTCACTTCAAAAACTGATAGTAAATTTTACAATAAATTATTATAAGGAAATTGCTAGTAACACACTAAAATTATGAAAGGTAAATAAACATAATTACCATCAATATGCCAGAATTATTACACACAAAAAAACTTTTAATATGCAATCTCTTTTGAACTGTTTTCTTTCTGTTTGCTTTAAAGAGACATCTAAAACCTTGTGAATTTCTGTTCATCTTACCATCTGATGTGTTTTGTAAAGAAATTTCAATAATTCAGAAGTTTTGTAAAAGGACAAACGGTCTAATAAAAAATATTTAGTCAGTAAATAATAAACCATTTTTGTTACCATACTGGGCATATATACAGTAGTTCAATATGGCAAAAACACAACAAGCATGCTCTGCGGTGTTTAACTTTGGAAAAGTTTACACAAAATAATAGGTTTGTTCATTCTTTCTTACTTTTTCTTTAGTTTCTTTCAATCTTTTTTTGTTTATTCTTTTTCTTTCTTTATTTCATTCTTACTCTCGTTATTTTTTTCCTTTGATTTTTCTTCATTTTGTTCTTTTTTGTTCTTTCTTTCGTTCTTTTATTCTTTCTTATGTTTGTTCGTTCTTTCTTAAATCTTTTCTTTCTTTCTTTCTTTCTTTCTTTCTTTCTTTCTTTCTTTCTTTATTTCTTTCTTTCTTTCTTTCTTTCTTTCGTTCTTTCTTTCATTCCTTCTTTCTTCGTTTGTTTTTTTTTCATTCTTTTAATCTTTTTCATTTGCTTGTTTGTTCTTTCTTTTTTTGTTCCTTCTTTCGTTTGTTCGTTCTTTCTCTCGCTCTTTCAATTGTTTGTTCTTTCTTTTCTTTCTTTCTCTCTTTCATTTGTTTGTTTGTTCTTTCTTTTCTGTTCTTTCTTTCTTTCTCTCACTTGTTTTTTCTTTTGTTTTCTCTCTTTTTCTCTTTCGTTCGTTGGTTCTTTCTCTTTCTTTCATTTCTTTTTCTTTCGCTCTTTCTTTCCTTTTCTCTCTTCTTTCTTTCTTTCTTTATTCTTTCTTTCTCTTCTTCGTTCTCTTTCTTTTTAGTTCTTTTTCCTCTCTTTCTATATTTCTTTCTCTCTTTCCTCTTTGTTCTCTTCAAGTGCATACAACATTTTCTCACATTTTTACAAAAATCTTTTAAATGTCAACTTCTTAATATTTTACCTAGACAAGCTAAAAGCTCTTACGTAGTACCAAAAAGCAAAAATAAATAAATAAATAAATAAATAAATAAATAAATAAATTTAAGGTAAGTTATAACTTGTTGCCAGTTCTTTTTTTCATTCTGTCAAATCAAGAATTGTGGATGATCTTCTTTTGACCTGATGTGGTGTTACAATGGTGCTCTGAGTGAGGTTTATCAAAATAACTTGGTTTTTGCTCACATTTCTTTTTCTTTTTCTCTTTCTGTTTTTTGTGAGTTAATTGATTAAATAATGTATTAATATTTTTGCAATGCAGTGTTGTTAAAATCAAACTTTCTTTCTTTTTCTTTCTTTCTTTCTTTCTTTCTTTCGACTTTAAGTGGAAATTATTAAATGCTATATACAGATTATTGTAGTACATAACACCATATTGCAGTTTCCATGTTGTACATTAAAGTAATGTGTGATATTAATTAAATGCATGTACATTGAGATTGGGGTTTATATAAGAGTGTTAAGGATAAAGAATAGTTTAATGTCATTATTACAGTGGACATAAGTAACAATAAAAAAAGTTATAAACTGTATATAAAATCAGCTTAGTTAAAAAAAAAAAAGAATTGTATGCTTCAATCTAAATTATGCATATACTGTATGTACGCACAAAACCATGCAAAAAGAGACACCCAAAACTGATGTTTAATTCTAAAATTGTCTGAGAAGATTTCCTCTACGATCAAAAATCTAAATATTGTGATTAAGAGAATTAAACTAAAAATATCAAAATAAATGTTTTACTTGCTTGTACATTTTAGCATTATTCTTTCATTCATGTCAAAACAATTGCAACAATTTATAAAAAACTCAGGAAATTTTCTTTTAACACTGAAGAAAGGACTCATAAAGCTGAGAAACGGTGAAACTGAGAACAATTCTTTAAGACTTTTAACCTTCCACAAAGCTCTTTAACAGCCCCGGAGGCAACATTTTCCTTTCTTTTTATTCTCCCTTCGTTCTCTTCACTCTGCCACCCTGCGCACCAGGCTAGCGCTAACGATCTGGCCTTTTCATTAGGCAGGCTAGCTAATTAGACTGTGTGTGTGTGTGACGGGTCGAGTGACTGCTTGGCGCAGCGCGATGCTGGCAGCCCATTTCATGCTTTATCACGTCTTTTAATTGACAAACAACCTGCTCTTTTCTCTTAGGCTGAGGTCTATATTCCAGGAGTCTGTATGTGTGTGTGTGCAGATGTTTTAGCGCCCCTTGACGTTTAGCTGTGTGTGTGACTGTCACATGCCTTTTCACCCTGCTGGATCTTTGGGGAGAAAATGCTCACTGAGTTTGCCAATTAACCACTTTCAGATTGTTCTGTGACAAAAACGCATACACACAGACGGACGCAAATGCTGAAAAACGCACACAGCGACTCAAAACTCATGTAAACAAATCCTGAAGTCACAAATATCTCAGAGACATAAAAAAGCAGTAACTTTATGCACTTTAACACAAGGCTAGTTATCAAATAAGCCCTTTGTGGTGAATGAAAGCTGATCTCTCTCCTCCACTTAGACACACCGCCAGGAGTCCGCCATTTATTCACATTCACACAAAAGGCAAAACCAGCGGGACCCTTGGATTTTTTTCTCTGCTTGTCGCTATCATGACTAATACTGCTTGTGGTGAATGTGTGTGTTTACATATATGTGATGCATTACACACAGAAACAAGTTATGATGAGCTGGAAAAAGAACAAATAAATGGGCCACTCTGTATTTTGAGGTACACATCTCATTACTAATAAAACTGAAACTTATGCCTCAATAACCCTCTAATTTGCCACTTATTAATAATAATTATTATGGTAGTATTTAGGTTTCGGTGTTAGGGGTGTAATATAAGGCATACAGAATATGTACTTAATAAATACATGTCAATTAAAAAACAGAGACTTTAGCTAGGCATGGGGATGATAACTGTTTTCAAGGTATACCACGATCTGAAAAATTCAAGTTTTTAAAACTGCTTACATTTTCTGCTATACCACTCCTAAGGTGCGTGTAAGATTTTTTTTATTTACGTTTTTTTTTTTTTAGGACAACAATATATCCAGAAGATCTCTAAAGATGCTGTTTTAAATTGCTGCAAGTTCCACCAAGTCAAATTTAAGACTTTTTAAGACCTTTTTTTAGACCATGAAGAATAAAATATTAGACTTATATCCTTAGTTAAACGCTACGGATTTTCTTAATAGCCCAACAGACGTGTTTAAAATCATTTAAGATCTCTAAGACAATATTTCAGCGAATTTAAGACTTTAAGGCCAAAAGTTTAGTTTTTGTAATTTAAGATGTTTTAAGAATTTTTAAGACCCCGTGGACACCCTGGTTTACTTTCTCCAAAATATTTTAAATGCTTCTCAAAATAAAATATTTTGTGCTTAAAGGGGAAAACAAGTTTTTGTATTTTCTCCAGACATTTAAAAAAAAACATAGTTTGGAGCAGTAATCACCATACTATGAAATCATAACATTTCTTTTCCCAAAACTATCATACTTCAGAATCTTACACCGGCCCATGTCTAACTTTAATAATAGGCAGGTAATGAGCCACTAATCAATAGTGAGAATTGTTACTTGAACCAAAGTGTTGGCGTTTTGTTATCATATACTTATCATTTTGTTATCATATTCCTTATCATATACTTAAAAAAAAGAAAAAGAAAAAAGGATTTTTGCTGCATGTTCAAACAACTCAATTAAAATGAGATAAAACCTCACATTTCTTGAGGTCTTTTGGGGAAAACTTAATTGGTTTGTGTTAAGAAAACATAAAGAGATTGTGTGAAACCCAGCATTTCTTACAGCGCAATTCAGATGATTACCATAATCAGTCATTTCCTTGGGCAGATTCTGTACACAATCAATGCTTTCACAAAACTTGTCTTTACATTTCATATAAGAGACATATGAGAAACAGTGCTTACTGTAAGGTGGTACTGTCTCCAGATTTGTGGACAGGCCTGTTGAAAACAGAAAAAGGTTATTGTGAAAGCCAAATATTTACAAGAAATAACTCTGAAACTTAAAGTAAACACAATCACATACAGATTTTTGTAATTAAACAAAGACACAAAATCCATGGAATGAGTTAAGGTCATTAAATGTCCATCTTTGATATGTTTGTAAATCTATACTTTCTGTTTTGCTATTTCTACTTTAAGTAGTAGTTTTGTTGTCATTGATTATACGTACAGCATTTAGAGCAATTACATATCAAACTACAAATAAATCTATAAAATAATCCCATCCTAAAACAACACTGTTGAAAAATAAATTATTTGTCAAGATCCCTCACTTTAATAGTTAAAATCTATTTTTAAATGAGCGTTCAACAATTTTATAAAAAATATAAACAACAACAAATGCTGAGGAAACTTCTATCTTGTTTCATCTATTCACATACATATCCATCTTTGCTCTTCCCAAAGTAAAACTGAACAATTGACATTGTTTCCTAATTTTTTGTGAATATCTATATCCTAAAATGAACAACTGTTTAGAAAAAACTACATAAAATAAATAAAAAAAACTCTCTAGCCATGAAAGCAATGACAAAAAACGACAACAATACCGAAAAAATGAAAGACAGTCTCATGAAGGGTACAAAAAGAACAAACATGATTACAATCAGAGTTCAACAAAGAAATAAAAGCACTGACAGCAACAGCTGAATGAAGAACCCTCCTCTGTAAATCAGCAGCTTTCTTCAGCAATGGAGATTTGTATAGTGCTCTCCATTCTGGTCCAACATGATGCTAAAGCTACGTGGGCTCTCCAAGGAGTTTGCTTATTTAGTTTCTTATTATTCAAAATCCTAACAAGCAGTCTGTATACCAATTTTCTATCAGCATCATGCACATATTTGGATCCTCAACTTAAAGAAAATAAAAAAGACACTGAGAGAAAGAAAGAAAAAAAGAAAGAAAAAGAAAGAAAGAAAGAAAGAAAGAAAGAAAGAAAGAAAGAAAGAAAGAAAGAAAGAAAGAAAGAAAGAAAAAAAGAAAGAAAGAAAGAAAGAAAGAAAGAAAGAAAGAAAGAAAAAAAGAAAGCAAAATGGACAAAGGAAAGCAAAAAATAGTCAGTAAATAAAAATGGCGGAGAAAAGTGGAATGAGAAAAACATTTTAAAGAGGAACAGAAAAAGAAACAAAACAGGAAAAAGAAAAGGTAAAACAGAAAATAGGAAAAGGGAATTTAACTGGAAAAATAAAAAAGTGGCAGATAAAATTAAAATAAAAAATAAAATAAATGTATGGTAATAAATTAAAAAGAACAAGGTAAAAGAAAAGATAAAAAAGAAAAATAAAAATAAACAGGATAAGTAAGAAGGAATAGGAAAAATAAACTAATAAAGTTAAGTACAACAGCAGAAGTGAAAAGTGCAATGTTGACAGCTGGAGTCGCCCCAACAGACACTGAGTATTTAACAGACCATGAGTAAGCAGTGCATTTACCCTGCGACTCCCATTTGCCCCATCTTTCTAAAAACTGAAAGTGTTGAGGGCACAGCAGCCAGGCTCATTTATACAGTTAGCTTTTCATTTAACCCCACCTGAAGAAAAAGTCAGAGGCTCCAGCACCCCTGTAGGGTCACCCTGCTAAGCGTATTGAAGAAAACATTCAAAATCTTTAAGAATCTGCTTTCCCTTCTCTCACTCGCTGTGACGAGATCATACAGCAATAAAGCTATTAAACCCATCTCCATATACTGCCAGATGCAAAATCCTCAAAATTAATCATTTTTTAAAAACTTTTTTGTGAATTAAAGTGACAGGCATTGTGTTAGGGTTTGTTTCTTTCTTTCTTTACAGGGTCAATGCACATGAATCAACATGTTACTGTAAAATGTGCCAGAATTAGCCAGGAATGTTTATTTTTCATCTGTAGACCCTTGACAGAATGTTAAAAAGGCACAGCTAAAAATAAAAGCATAGCATAATATCACAAAATATAATATAACATGTGTATATAAAAAGGTTATAATAGTTTTGGATTTTTCATTAGTTTTATTTTTTATTTAATTAAAAATTTTTGCTTTCAAATTTAGTTTGTTTAAATTAGTTTTTAGAGGCAGATTTACATTTACAGTTTCTATATGTTTCAGCATTAGTTTTTTTTTTGTAAATTATGAAATTTGTTAAGGGTGCAAGATTCAAAATCATCAGAATAAATATTGCATAATAAAAACACAAACAAAGATACCCTAACGTTAATTTTTTTTGACACATAAACACTACTATCTATCACTACCATCTACCTATCCTCAAATTCAAATACAACAACCCACAAGACAGCAGCCCTAAGTACAATGTGTGCAAGGCTGCTTCTGCGGTTAAATAAACAGTAGTGATGGGAAGTTTGGATCTTTAATTTGAACTGGATATTTTGTAACAATCTTCCCAAGTTTGGACTCAACATATCCAAAATTCATCATCAGCAATAATTTCAGTCAGTTAAAACATCAAATCTGAAAAGATTCTAACATTTACATTTTGCAACCCAACTGAAACATGATTCCCTTATTTAAATTCCATTACGAAAGGTCTGTTTCACCAGATCCTCTGATTTTAGCCCTCGGTTTCCCGCGCAGCAGTAGTTCAAGTTTACCTCAGTCACAGCAGGTTGTCATGTACGGTTTATGTTCGATTGACCTGCTGAATCACGCATGCACAGTATTATCGGTTCACCGCTTCTCAAATCTGATTTTAGTGTACTGTTCTAATAACTGAATAACTCAGTATATTTTGGTTTATTTGGGTCAGAGGTGGGTATAAGGCCTTTTTTAAAAGTAAGTAACTTGCGAGTAAGTGCTTAATGTTACTGGAGTCGTGAATCATTTCAAATGATTCAGTTCGATTTGGTGAATTAGTTCAACTGGTTCATTTATAAGATCTGGTTAGAAGATCCTTTCAAAAGAATTAATTTGCGATCACAATACAGAAATAAAACCCAATATTGGGCACAAATGTGTTAAATTAATACTTTTAAGTGTCTGCTTAGGTCGTATTTATTATTGTCACCGTGCTGCTGTCAAGTCCAGTCGTTGTTTTTGTCGCTGGAGCAACAGCAAGGATGACTGGAAGAGGACCGGATTGATCTGGCCAATGGCAGCAGGATTACAGAATCTGAGGTGCGTCCGGGTGAAACACTGGCAGCGCAAAGTATTTTTACTATAACTTTAGTTAGTTTTGTATATACACAATTTCAGTTTTAGTTTTATTTTTAAACTATTGTTTTATTTTTTTTTTTCAGTTAACGAAAATTATTTTTTAATTCTAGTTTTCTTTTTTTCGTATGTTTTGTTACTATAATAACCTTGGTATATATATAAATAAGAGACAACGACATGAAGCAAAAAAGGAGGGGTCATTTCAATAATGGGCAAATACTGAAGCTAATTTTAGATTCTTATTTTTGCAAACAAAAATTATTAAATGACAAACTGTTCCAAATTAATCACAGATGTTTTATAACATATTATCAGAGTGGTGAGTAATTTAAATAATAATAAAAAACATTGAAGTATAAATAGGGAAAACATTATAGGGTTGATTAAAAAACATTATAGGGTTGATTAAAAAAAAAAAGTAAAAACTTTACAAACATTTACATACCCAAAGCCAGTTTAAAAAAGCTAATATCAAGAACACCGGTCACTCATTATTATGAATTATCCTACAGTGAGCTAGAATCTGGAAAGCAAATGGCCCGGCTGATATTTGTTAACTCTCAGAGTTCATTAGCAAACTCCACATTGCCGTTTTTGAGACCGCTGTAATTATAGATTATAAGCATAATTAAAACTCATGTTGTACTGGCGGATGAAGAATTGTTTGTTCAGTTAACCAGCAAAGATCAACCACCATAACATCCTATATTTACTGCACATTCTAATCCAGATTTATCAATAACCAGAAGTCTTACAGGGCTCATGGACACTGATCTATGAAAAATGTACAGTTTAAGAAATATAAAAAACAAATGTAACTCATTTTGACTAACAGAATTCAGCAGAATATTGGACTATTTAACTGCACTTCAATCCTAAATGTGTTTGTTTGTCATGTTATGCATGAATGGGACCCAATTTTGTTTCAATTAAAACTATGCCAAAATTATATTAAAAATGTTTCCAAATCACAAGACAACAGAAGATGAACAAAACTTAACTAGCTTGTGTGGTGAGGGATTGTGTTCTAGTTTTACAAAATAACAACAAAATATTTACAAATACTGTGTGTGTGTTTTAGTGCTCAGGACAGGAGATGCTTAAACATCAACACAAGATGGAATGGACAGAAATGCAAACAAGAAAAAAAAAAATAGTTCACCTCACAAACTGTGCCAGATACAAGACATCATTTCAAAGCTCTGTTTTAGTAGGTTTCTGCAAGTTTCACCATGTCAAATTGTAGAGAAGTGTGACTCGGTACTATAGAGATTGTCTACTTTAATAGCTGGGTGTCTGTTTGTTTTGCCTAGATTCATATTTTCTTGTAAAGAAAGTTAATCATATTACAAAATATATTTCTCTTGTTTCTTATTTCTCTAAACAAAATCAGCAACTTTTGTAAAAGCAGCAGTTCATGTGTGTTTTCTTGTTGAACTCAATTAATACCTTCATCATTCATAAATTGTTTTGAAGTAAATTGAAGTGTAAAATTAAACACCGTTTAATACATTTTAAGACTGTTATGAATGTAACTTAAGACCTAAAAAATGTCTATTTTGTAGTCGTAATACAACTAATAATTCCAAATATAATGTATTAAAATATATAATGTAATATTTTTGAATATATTGTCCAAAAGATGTCTAACAGAGCAAGAGCTTATCTAGTTTATTTCAGCATCAGTATAAACAAACTAAAACTGTGACTGTGCTGGGATTTTACACTTTAAAAAAAAGAAATATCAGAATATCTATATTTTCTGGCATGAGTTGAGGTGTTTGCACATTTACAACGTCCCCTGCTGATGAAAAAAACTCTTTCACTGGGGACTGAGATGGCTGGTGTGAAAAGGTAAGCCCTTCCTAAACCAGAGACCAATGTGTACGGAGATAGTCAATAGGCCCTCTGATCCAGAGGGCTGGCCACTGGCATCAAATACTGATTATAAAATAACTTATTTTATAGTAGGATAGAGACAGGAGTTGAACATGATTATGAAGGTGAATCATTAATATTACTTGTATAATTAATTAGTATAAGTATCAATGTGATACACTTAGGAAAAGATAAAGAACAGTTTTAAATATTCAATAATAAGCTAATTATTAAAATATGCATAAACTAATTTGAAAAGAAATAAAGGGTAAAAATAAATACCTGCTTCTGTAATAGAACAACATTCTCTTTTGATCTGCAAAACATCTTCACACTTTCGTGATAAAAACACTGATGCATCGTGTGATCTTCGTAGCACTCGTCTGAGCAAGCTGAGCAGCAAACAATCCAGTCCGCGTGGTTTGCCTTACTAATATTTTTTTGTGTACAGAAGAATGTGACAGAAGTTTTTCACTTTGTTGATGGTTTATGTGCATCATATTCATTGTTCTGTTAGTGTAAGTAAACATCTTTTTGCAGTATTTGCACACAGTTTGTGTTTTGTCTGGCGCACTTCACCACTGTCATTTTACTCTGCTGACCCAACTCTTGCTCGCCGCCGATGCGCAGGTAAAGCGAACTTGTGGCTGTAAACACAGTGCCCCCTCTGTTCAAATAATGTATAACGATTCATTCAACATTTCTACTGATTTGAATTGATGGGCCCTATCATACACCCGGCGCAATGTGGCGCAAGGTGCGACACAATTGTTGTTTGCTAGTTTCAGCTTGGCGCAAGAGTTGTTTTGATGTTTTGTGCACGCTATTTAAATAGCAAATGCATTTGTGCTCATATGTGTGCCCATAGGCGTTCTGCTCTAAAAAGGAAGGTGTTCTTAGTCGCATTGCTGGTGCGTTGCTATTTTGAGAAATTATAATAGATTTTTCAAAAGACCGAAACAAAGCAGGTCGAAAGTCCAGCACAGAGTTGCGCCTCGCTTACACACTGCTTAATACACACAAGATGTAGAGCAATACGCAAATATCTTTACATATGAAAAATAATTAAAATATTAAGGATATATATAGGATATAATAAGGATATATATATATATATATATATATATATATATATATATATATATATATATATATATAGGATATAAATATAAAGGATTAAAATATTACAAAAAAAATTTTTCTAGCCTACATAAATATGAAAAACCAAAGCCTTCATGCCTTCTTCATCTCGGGAGGTTCTTTCAGTTCATTCAACTTGCTTTTGTATAATGTTATCATTATTAGCAGTATTATTTATTTTATCAATATTTATATTTGTTTTATTAAAAACAAGCTTAGATTTGCCCACCTGTCAGGTTTAGACCATATGGGGCACAGCATGTGTTTTAGGATATAACTCAGGTTTTTGAACAAACTTCGTTATTATTGTTCATTTATTCGTTTGCTGGAAATTGGAACTGAATTTAGAAATAGTTTTAAAACAAATATTTGCGCTTAACAAACGAAATTATTTATTTATAGGCTAATTGATGTCTGTGCGTACAAGGTTTCCCTATCCACAAGAGCAAAAGTGTAAGTAGATAATTTATCTCTCGTTCTCGTGCAATAGATGCTCTGTTTAACGGTTTCCTTGCTAGTGAAATGTTCAGTTTTTCCACTTACACTTACTTTATGTCATGTAAATAGCAAATGACTTTATGTCATGTAAATAGCAAATGCGCTTATGGCGCGACGCAACTGGCTCTTAAAGGGAATGGGAGATGAGACTCTGATTGGTTTATTTTAAAAACACACCTATAACTCATTAAGGAAATCATCTAAAATGTTTTAGACCATGCGCCACGGCACAAAGCGGATTTTTCCGTCCTATTAGCAAAAATGGATTCTGACACACCCTGAAACTGTTTGCGCCCTGCGCTCTGTGCATGGATCTTCAAAATAGAGCCCAAAATTTAAATCGATTTTCAACCTCTTCATGGTGAATTGTTACGTCCCTATTTATTAAAACTATTATGTTTAGAAATGTGTTGATAAAATCTACAGAGGGGCTAATAATTCAGAAGTGCTAATAATTCTGATTCAATTGTACATTTGAACAAAAGAAATAAATATAAGACCACCAAATCAAAGGAAACATTCTAAAGCACAAAGGGAGCACTTACAGCGTTACATGCTCATAAGCAAATTAAGACTAATTTAAAATCATTTAAGATAGGGGTGTCCAAACTCAGTCTCCGGTAGGGCCGGTGTCCTGCATAGTTTAGCTCCAACTTCCTTCAACACACCTGCCTGGATGTTTTTAGTATACCTAGAAACAGCTTGATTAGCTGATTCAGGTGTGTTTAATTGGGGTTGGAACTAGGACCGAGTTTAGACACCCCTAATTTAGGATCTGAAACACAATACTTCAGTGGGCTTTTGCAATAAAATATTTTGTAATTTTTTATTGTCTAAAACTGTAACTTTTTTTATACTAACTTTTTAAGACCCCACAGAAAGCCTGGTTTTAACAAGCTACATCTTCTCGCTTTCATCTCTCCTGCTGTTTCTTAAAGTCACATTATTTCTCTTCCTCCCCCATTTGTGTCTCTCTCAGTGGGGTTGTTGTTGGGGGTGACGAGTGGAGCGTGTGTCCCACTCACAGCCTGTGAAGCGTCTGTCTTAATGAGAGAAAGAATGGCCCAGGAGAGAGAGAGGGAGAGAGAGATACACTTGCACAACTCTGAAACAAACACACACAAACTGAGTACTCACGTCGATGAAGTGTCCGGTCATGCCGCAGCGGTGGCATCTTTTGTACCAAAAGGCTCTCTCCAGACAGTCATCAGAGGTGTGGCCGGGCAGCGAACAGTTCGAGCAGTGACGGTTTGGACAGGTCCTCAGTAAGTGTCCCCGAAGCCCACATAATGAGCAGCACGGCACCTTCTGCACACAAACACACAAAAAGTCACAATAAGCACACATAGCTTTTGCTTTAAAAATCTTTGTCATTGAATTGTCATGGAGCATTACAACTATAGAAAACTTAATTTATAACTTTAGTTTCCACAGTTATTTTATGTAAATATACCTGAATAAACAGTATTCAGAGTTCAAAATAATATCACAAATAAAAAAAGAAAAATATTTAAAGAATATACTTTATTTTTACATTATAAATCAAAAGTATAACTGAATAACTTCTTGTTCTTTATCCTACGGCTACTTAATATTCGTTCATTCATTCAGATTGAATATTATAGTAACAGCTAACAAATTTAGTCCAGAATGTTTTATATACACCATGGCTAATCAAATATGTGACCACAAAACCATCATAAATGCAATTCATGCATTTTAAATATGTTTTCTATTGATGTATGCTTTATTAGAATAGGGCAATGTTTGGCTGGTATTTAACTATTAGAAAGTTTGGAATCTGAGTGTTCAAAGAAATCAAAATACCGAGAGAATTGCATTTAAAGTTAAATAAATGAACTGCTTTGAGTAACATGATTTTTAATTAATATTCTAATGATTTTTAACAACAAGGAAAAGCTAAAATTTTGACCCATAAAATGTATTTTGGTTAGTGTCAAACATAGGGTCACATATAATAAATGTTTCACATTGTCTTCATTGTAATTCAGAAATCATGGCCAAATCATTTTTTTTATACGATTAATAACTGTTGTACTGCTTAATATAGGCTCAGAATGGTTGCAATTTGAAAGTCTGCATAAAATAAGAAATGTACAATGGTTATTTAACTAGTACACATTGTTGGTCATAAGGTGAACAATTAATCATTGCAAGTTCTTTGGAATTGCCGTTCTTCTCTGATGTTGTTATAGTTTAATGACTTGGGCTGAATAAGCTTAGCCACGCCCCTCCAACTATTAGTTGCGAGTGAAAGATAAGAGCATGAACCTAAAAGTCTGTGTGAACTGAAAGTTGCTGAGACTTTATATCTGTGCGTTGATGTACTTCAACTGAAACGGAACATTGATTAGGGGCAGGGCTTTCTTTCTGCACATCATTCCCTCATGGCAAACTAAAGATAAAAGGGGTAAGGTTAAGAATAGTGGTTGAAGCTGCCAACAGAAGGACCGCCACTCTAAATGCAAAAGCATATAGTCAGACTTTGATTGAAGATTACCAAAACAAACTTTTTTTTTTCTTCAGTGGATTAACTTGCATGAATTCATAGTTAAGCTAAAGAATAACAATGTTTGCTAGCAAAATAAACATTGCAAATTTTGATTTACCTTAAACTTTATTTCAAATAAGAAAGAAATTATTTCAAACCTGATTGAGATTATGTCTTCTGTTAAATACAAAAACAGATGTTTTGAAGTTTGTTAGAAACTAGTAGCAAAGGAGTTCTATATTATAATTATTTTTTTATATGGATGGCAATGGGAAACGAAACATTAGGACATTTTTTTAAATATTATCTTTTGTGCTCAACAGAATAAAAAAAATGGAAATAATGAAGGTTTGGGGTTATTGGTGAGTAAATAAAAGTTTTTGAGTGAACTAATTCTCAAAATATAACATTTAAGTCACACAATATTCCAACATGGATTCATTTTACAGTTCATAATGACCTATAAACAGCTGCATTACACACAGTAGTCTACTCAATTTAAATCGATTAATCAATGCAGAAATTGCAACAGTGGCTAAACTGTTTTTCTTTTTGGCTAATGCGTTAGTAAATGTTTAGAGGAAATGAACAGTGACCTTTGCTTTGGGGCAGATGACTGTAGTGAAGGGTGGATAATGATATACCTTTAATGTGGGGCAGTTTTTGGAGAGATGACCAGTCTTATTGCAGTTGCGACACGTGATGGATTTTTCAGTGTAGTATCTGTATGTGGAGCGGTTTGGGACATGCCTCGGGCCGTGCCCTTTATTATAGATCTGAGCCTATACACACACACACACACACACACAAAGAAAGAAAAAAAATGGTAATCACCTCATTTAAAAGACTTCAAGAATAACAACAACTATTTAACATTTTAAAAAGAAACTGTAAAGAAAACACTGTTATATTTTTTGATAGCTTCCAGCTTAGCTAAATAAACTGTAACATTACCTGTTTATCCTTTTCTGATACAGTCCACATCTGCTCTTGCCCTCTGTAATTTACATATTCTACAAAAAAAAAGATCAGTGCATGAGAAAAACAAACTGAAACCATCAACATAGATTTAGATAAACTTTAATAAGAGATTGTGTTTGATTATGTGTGTGTGGATGGCAAATGAGGCCCACACCCCTAATTTGACCTTTTTTTTTTGCTCATTCTCAAGAGACAGAAAGACAGTTACTACAGCAATACACAGCTGCACATCAAGCACACACAGCATTGAAATACACCACACACACGTACACAAATAGAAAATATGTGTAATATATAAAAAATACTTAAGCTAGTTTAACATAATAGCTGTACTGAAATATGGGTAACACTGTAATATGGGTGTACATTGTCTTATTTGCTAACAGTAGTTAGAATACATGAACAAACTATGTTTTTTGCATATTTTATAGCATTTTAAATGCTAATTAGCTTGCCATTAAACTTTTAGTAAATAATTGCATTAACTAAGATAAATAAAGGCTTCATGAGCATTGCTAATGGTTGGTTCATGTAAACTGAGAGCTTATAACTAGGCCCACACAGAATCTGGGTGCACAGAAATCCGCAAATATTTAGCCTATAATTGAATCTATTTACTTGTGTAAATGTGTGTAAATGTATATTTATTCAGTTTTAAATATGTTTCAGTAATATTATTGACTAAAATGAAAGTGTTCAAATGACTTATTTACATTATAGTTTGAAAGTAATAGTTTCAGTCTTTTGATAGATATATTATATGAGAAACTTGCTTTGTTAACCAAATAAGTGGATCTAGAGGGATTTGCATTGTGAACATTAGATAAAAGTCATTTTATAAATTAAGTTTTTAGATATGATACCCCCTAAATAATTCAAAATAAATCCGCTGATTTTTACAAAATTCTCAGCAGAAATAGCAAAACACGACCGCAGATTCTGTCTGGCCATACTTACCTAATAAGAAGACCTAATTGTGAAGTTTTTTTGCATTTATTTATGTGCTTTTGGCATTTCATATAACTACAACAAATATAGAAAAAAATACAATACAATAATTATACATATAAAATACATTATAGAACCTATGACAACCAAACAACAGCAAAATATAATTTAGCTGGTCAGGTAATGCATAAATAAAAGTAATTATAAAGTAACATTTTTCGTATATTAACAGAAAAAAATGCACTGACCTGACTATAGTTTTAAAGTCAAATAATAGTTTGGGCACATTATAAAAACCTTATAAAAAAGGAATAGTGAATATCAACTACACTCAATCTTTAATTACTATGTTATTGACAGGAGTCATTGGTTATGCTTGCATTTCTTCTAATCTATTAAAAGGTGTTCTAATATCTGTCCCCATGTTTTTAATTTATCATTATTGATATATTTCAACATCTCCGAAGCAAGTATGTTTATGAGATCTCTACCCCATATACTAAATTTAGGTACAGGTTCATTTTTCCACATTTTCAAAATGACCCTTTAGGCAATTATCATACCAAATAACATGGCTTGTCTTTCATGTGTATATTATGCAGCTTCTTGCAACACAAATTATAAGAAACACTGTGAAGTTGCACACCATTACTTCTAGAGTCAATCCTTTTAGGTGTTAACATCAAATATAATTTGCAAGAGTGATTTTAAATGCATAGAAAGCACATTGAATTGAACGCTAATATTTCATTTAACTTCTGTCAATGTAAAATGTCAAAATATATAGGTGAAACAATGCTTCATGTTCATGTATTGTAACAGATATTTATTTGAAAATAATTTAACATATTCTGAATATATAAGAGTGATGAAAGAATATATGATAAAAATAACAAATATAAGAATATAATACATAAGAATAAACAAAAAATATTTAAGAATATTAATATTATTTCTTTATTATTAAAATTTTGTTAACAAATGTGTAGAACCTGGTGATCATATTGAGAGTGTCATAGTATATAAAAATAAAAATCACAATAAATTAGAATATTGGATACATTTATATATAGGTTATTTATATGTTGTCAAATGATTCTTGTTTGAAATAAGACAAGATATGTTAATAAATAAACTACAGTTACACCGAATGACCTTTAAATGAGTGTTTTCTCTACAATACAAATGCATGATTTTCATGAAAATGTATAAATATTTGCTTAGAAAGAAAAAACAAACAGGGACATTTAAATCAATTTTAAATAAATGAATAAAATTTTATTATACATTTTATTACATCCTTGAAAATCCTAAATTTCGTCTTTGACCCAAATGCAATGCCGTTATGAAAATGAACCATATTCGTTCATTCATTTGTGTGCGCTTTTTAAATCTACACACCCAACACATTGCAACAATGCCCCCCAAACATCCCTGAGGACCTCAAGTACAATAAACAGGAAACATTTCCTTTAATCCTGATGCCCCCCTTCTTTCTTTCTCCTCTCTCTCGCTCTCTCTCTCTCACACACACACACTCACACACACACCTCCGTGTCTCTACGTGGGGGAAATGCCTCGTCAGTCACGGCCCAGCAATCACACAAAGCCAGAGAAAGGAGGACCTCACTATGGTAATCCTGCCAGGCCTATTCACAATGACACACGCGCGCGCACGCACACACACACACGCACACGCACACGCACACACACACACACACACACACACACACACACACACACGAACACACTATAATGTACCTCTCATATGAATATTAGCAATATTTTCATAAATCCACCCATAAATCTCCCTTGCACACCTAAATAAAATAGTATGTGGGGTTTTTGCAAGTGGCATCTACACAAAATAAAACCATTGCCAGAGGGGGCGCTAGAGAGTAAGCAATAATCAACGCCACAAAAAAAAAAAAAACCAACACAACTTTTCCCTACCATACAGCGAGACCGAGATGGAGGGATGAAAAGTAGAGCATGGGAGGAGGGAATACCGGAATAGCGACAGATGCTACTTGTACGTCTCATAGGTATGCTAATTAACATAGAGCTAACAAATAAAAATAAGAGGTGTGTGCGGCGGGTGCAACTTCATCAGTGTGTAAATGTGTGTTTTAATGAATTCCAGCTGACTAATAGTCTAAGGGAGAAGAAAGCTGGCGTGCGCCTGGCCACCATGTTTGGGTCCATGGAGAACTAAACGGATGTGTAGGAGAAGCTAATTAAGCATGAACACAAGCTCCCATTGGAGAAAAAGAGACTGAGACACCATTCTGTCTTTAAGACGACTCTGTGTGTAGGGAACAGGCCATGTGACGGCATATCTCAAAACACAAACTGCCTGGGACTCTCTGACTGTTTCCTCTCAGAGACGAATCATGGTCTTGAACTAAACTGCTGCTTGAAACTTCTTAATGGAATCCCTCCTTGGACAATTCATTTAGCCTGAAGCCTCAAGTAAACGCGCGGCCAAGAAGGAATCAATCACAAAGAGTCAATATACACAGCAAATATGCTCACAATTCTGGGGTCAGAAAGATTCAAAAACTGAAACATATCTATGTGCACAGAAACTGCATCTAAAAAATTATGAAAGTTATTGAAATTTCCATAGCTATATGATCCTTCAAATTAGGGCTGCATGCTGCATGGGAAGAACAATTACATTGTAACGTTCTGCTTTTCTGCAATATACAGGGTCAAGTCTGGTGACACTGATGAACATGAAAGTGAAGCTAAACATCTTCCAGGGCCTAAACAGTGTCCAGATCGAAAAATTATTGACCCACTTTGGAGGAGCGAGTCAGGAAACATTTTCCTCCACCAGCATCATATAGTGACCTGGCCACTATTCTGCAAGAAGAATGGCTCAAAATCCCTCTGGGCACTGTGCAGGATTAGTATCTCATTCCCAAGACAAATTGATGCTGTATTGGCTGCAAAAGGAGGCCCTTTACAATACTAATGAACTATTGTGGTCTAAAACCAGCCAATTCAGTCTCATTGTCCCCTGCATATTTTGATAGGAAATCTATTTCACCAGATGGCTTCAATAACTCGAATATGTGTGAAGAATTCACTACTTTAACCTTTTAACTTCCCTACCAAGAAGAAAACTTTTGGATTGCATTTCTGAACTCCTATTGTCGCTAGTTAACAAATTTAATGCATTTTTCCAACACATCCCATAACCTCTACCAAATGATTGATTTGTCGGTTTATGGTAAAAGCACTGGAATTTATAGATATACTATAAAAAATCTGAAAATATGAAGTGTAAGACAATTTTATTATTTAAAAAAAAAAATTTAATAAATAATTGAATTCTAAATCCCCTAGCGACGCAGTGGCGCAGTAGGTAGTGCTGATACCTCACAGCAAGAAGGTCACTGGTTCGAACCTCGGCTGGGTCAGTTAGCGTTTCTTTGTGGAGTTTTCATGTTCTCCCTACATTTGCGTGGGTTTCCTCCGGGTGCTCCGGTTTCCCCCAGTCCATAGACATGCGGAACAGGTGAATTGGGTAAGCTAAATTGTCCATAGCCATGTGAATGAGTGTGTGTGGATGTTTCCCAGAGATGGGTTGCGGCTAAAAGGGCATCCGCTGTGAAAAAAACATGCTGGATAAGTTGGCATTTCATTCTGCTGTGGCGACCCCGGATTAATATAAGGACTAAGCCGAAAAAGTTTTTCTAGAGATGGATTGTTGATTGGATGAATGTTGGCCCAACAGGGAATATTGGACGGAGGAAAATTAAGACCCGTTTAAAATGATTTAATACCTACACAACAATATTTCAGTGAATTTACAACTTTTTAAGGCCTAATTTTGTTTTTGAAATTTAAGACTTTTTTAAAACATGAAAACAGTAAAGATACAGTCAACCATTTGGTAGAACAAGCAGTTAGGGTTTCTTTGATTTTATTGAGGATTGAATCTGCATAAAATATATTAAGCTAGATAAAAGACAAAAATATTTTTATATTTTTCTGAGAGGTCTTAAGGATAGTCAGGCACAGATGTTGAATAGTCAAGTATAATAAAATAACACTTTGCAGTCTTCTACATATAAATTAAATGAAATCAGTCTTAGATAAGCCTATATACCATTTCTTGAGCCTTTAAACGTTGTAACATAAAAAAGGAAATCTTTGCAATTAATCATGCATCTTAAAATGTGGAGCTTGGTTTAATATAACCTCTACTTGACATTGAACATCATGTGATGTGACTCTTCCAGTTGCGCATATTTCTATTTTGATGCTGAAATGATATATTGTGGAGCTCTACTTTACATGCTCCGGAAAGACTTCACTCAGAAATGGCAAAGCTCTAAGCAACAAAGTAGACGAAAAATGTATGCCACTAGACACCGACCCCCATGGATCCCATTAGGTTGGACAGTGCAAAAACAATTTTTAAGCAATATTAAGCAGCTGTTTTCCACAATGATATGCATTCTAAGGAATTTGAGGATTCCATCAATCATTGATTCCATTGAAGCTAAATATTCAATGGGGGAAAAAATGAAGGGTGCGTTCCTCATGATCCAATCAGCTGTGATTAATCAATAACTCCAACTCTACATTTTTCCCCCACATTGAATATTCAATATCTCAAAAGGAACTAGACCTTGATGCTGGCTTGCAATCAATTATAGTAACTCTACCATCATCTACTTTTAACCCTCAAAAGCACTGTAAAGTGGTTATTCTATGTTTGAAATTCTATGGTTATTATCATTACGCCCAATTCACAAGGGGCATCAGAATAAACGCTTCCCATTTACTTTGAATGGGTGGCGTCAAGCGTTGCCGAACTGAATTGTGGATCTGTTGCTCGCTGTAGAAGTTAGGAATTTCTCAACTTTACAAGCACCAAAGGAATCGGGCAGTAGTGTAAATTTGAAATTTTACTGTCAACTGGCACTGAATTATCAGCCAACAAACATTTAGAAGTCTGTATTACCTACACAGTTTGCTTAAAATAATGATTAATTTGTTATTGATAATAAATGAATAATTTCTTAATTTATAACTAACATGACTTCCCCATTATATGTATAAAACTGTATACAATTGGACCCTTTCACATTTCTAGAGCTCATAATTACCAAGTGATAGTTGGAATCTACAAGATAAATGTTCTTTTCAACAACATCAGCAAAAGAGAAATTATAGTATTTCTATTGCTGCATCTGACACCTACTATATAACAGGCAAAAAACTGACAAAACAAGCATCTCTGAATTTATAATAGTTAAAAAGGATGCAAAAAAAAAAAAAAAACACCTTGATGACAAACTACTCCCTGACAGATTTTTTAGTATGCTGATTACAGACACTTTACCAATCTATTAAGGTCACATAAGAGGTTTTGTGAATGGCTATGAATTAGTTCGACGAGCAATGATGGGTCAAGTAACAACATGGCGAATGCAGCAACTCCATATTACATGTATACTATGAAACATATTTTGTTATCGGTAACAAAGTTATTATACATAAAAAAATAAAAATAAAAATAAACCGATTCAAAGATGATTCCTTGGATTTAATTTTAAGATAAGTGGTTGTAAACAATCTATTTGGGCTGAATTTAAAAGACAAATTAAGTTGATTATAACTAAATTTAATTTGTTTATTGAAATTCAACCCAAATCAATTGTTTGCAGCAAGTTTGCAGAAATCTTTTTTTGTGTATGTAAGTACTTATGCAAAACAAGTTTATAAAAGTTAAAGCTATTTCAGACACAGCCAAATTTGAGAGATTGGTCAGAAAAAGATTGAAGTTACACAAGTGACAGTAAAAGCGAATAAAAGTTAAAAGCATGTGAACTACCTAAGATCTATTCTGAACATACTGCAAATATGTGTGGACATAGGCAGGTAATGAAAACATTAACTATGTTTTTAGCTCAATAAACTCCTAGCTCGCTGCTTATTAGTTAATAAGATTGTAGTTGGGTTTAGAAATTAGGTAGCTGTCTAAACAGCTTGCTAAAGATGATTTTAATCATAGGTGCCCTTTTGTAAAGGAATTATAAAATGTTATCCATAATAAGGTACACTGTAAAGAATACAGGGTTCCACGTAATGCATTCATGTTGACCCAACACATATCAATTAAGTTAACTTAACACTTTTAACAAACTTATGTGAATAGAACATAAAAAAATTAAGTTGTCCCAATGAAATCTCAAGAATTGTGTTAATTCAGCTCATTTTAACTAAGTAGTTTGAACAAGCAAAAAAATATATATTTTTTGAGTGTATAACAACCCAGCATATTGAAACTTCCATTTACAATGTTTGTTTTTAACTATGCAAGTACTTAATTAGTGTCTATATGGGAATTAAATTCTAAATTAGCTTAAATAAAGCAATATTTTCTCTTCCGAAGAAGTGGATTCATCAACATGATTCATCTGAATACAAACTTCTTGAACCAGTAAAGTTATAGGGAAATGGACAGAAATGTGGTTCATGTAATACATCTAAATATGCATTTCAACAATAAATGAGAGTTGCAGGTATTTGGAACGACATCATAAGTATAAATAAATGACAGAATTTTTATTTATGAGAACTAATGCTTTAGGTAAAGAGGGTCCAATCTGATTCCATGCTGATGTAAACCATAAATCATGCTAGAAACCACTTTTGACTCTTACACTTAAGATCAATCACTTGCCTAATCACAAAATGACTCCAGAATCTAAAAATCCTCCAATGTTTGTATAGGTAATACATAAGATCTCCAACCTGGTGACACACGCACCCATAGTGAGCACCTCTCGTCTCCCTTAACAACCTCCCTCAAGTGTAACCATTCAGCCTTCTCGAAGCAGACTAACCAGCATAGGGAGAAGGGGGGGAACATGGGACTGAACCCCAAAAAAAGCTGATCAAAGCCTCGAGCAGGTCCTGCCGTTAACCAGTTTTGGGGGTTGCAGGTCCTTTGTGCGGTGCTGTTGACTTCTGCCACTGGGCTGGCGGAGGGGACAAAGAGAGCGGAAGAGAGGCCAGCAGTCAGATTAACACAGCCATACATAACAATAGAACCCGAGTGTGTGCGACCCCGCGTACCTTTGTGTTTGAGGGTGTACATTTAAGAGATGGAAAGAGGGAAGTTGCTCATGTTCAGTCCTACTTTTGGTTCTTATTGCAGAGCTCGTCAATATAGACTGGCCCATGGCACAGGGTCAGCGTAAGTGTTTCAGGAGAGAATGGAACTATTCTTACAAGGGCTAACATGCACTACTAAGATAATTAGCTAATAGTTTTATTGAACAATGATGTATTTAGCAGTTTTAACTGTTGTTGTCCTATATTTGGGACATGTTTCAGTGCGGTTTTCTTGGTCTTAACGTGAACTTACATTCACAAACTTTGTATAATATGTATAAATTGCCTTTAATTTTCAAGTGTGAATTGTAAATGTGAGTTGAAAGTCAACAGGTTAGTAGATGCTGTCCTAAAAGCTATTAACATTTCAAAATTCTTTAAAGACAAAAAAAATAAAAAAAAGTTTTGTTATAAACACAATTTGTTTCCTGAGAACTAAATCGTGAAATTAAATTTATTTCTGACATAGTGTGACAGACACCTAAAGAAATGACCACTGAAAGAAATTTCACTCTTGTATCAGAGCACAAAATGTCAACAAATGACATTTGTATCTATAGTCACGCAAAAAGAGTTTTATTATATAATGTTAAATTAAATTCTTGCTACATTTTCTTTAAATTGACCTATGCCAAATGTAAGCATCTATGACAAATGTTTAAATAATAACATTGATAAGGTTTTATAAAATGTTGAAAATGATTGACAATAATATTTGAAATTAGGGCTGAGCGATATCACAAAAAATGTATCATGATATCATGTTTCAAATAATTTGATATCAATTATTATTTTACATTTTTTAACAATACATTGAGGAACAATAAATTTCTTTGGTTATTTAAACACTTACCTTTAACTTACCAACATTACAGAAGAATTTTAATAGTCAAAAACTAAAATATTTAAACAAATATCTGATCTCTTTATAATAAAATAAGCATAAGTGTTAAATATACTCTTAAACTTAATAAAATGTTCCAAAGTGTGTGCAATGGTAAAGGTAGATCAACATCTGTAAGGTGTTGATAATAATCATATAGTAAACCTCAAACTTTGTAAACAAAACAAATTATGATAAGCAAATCTGAGCTTTCAAGTAAAGGAACCGTCATTATTCAAATACATATTGCAACATTACAAATACAGTTGAATGACAACATTACCCCCTATGCTAAAAAATATTTCTGATAGGGAGCAAGTGGGATGCAGAAGAAAAGAAACCAAAACCCCTATAGCGACATCCTTACATGCTTTTATATTTACAATCTCTTCACTGCTGCTACATGGCATTCATTTTCGCATGTGTTGGTATTCTGACTTGAAGTGACAAGCGCAAGCACATTGATGCTTCACCATTTTCTATGGTGTCTCTCATAACTAGGCAACAATCAAGCGTTTTCTCAGAGAATGACAAACTGACAAGCCATTGCTGCAGCTCCCATGCAAGTTTATGAAGAAAAGTAAAAAGCACTGCAGTGTTTGGATGCACTGTGTTTGTCTGAGGTAATCAGTCTACGTTATTACTGAAATGTGTATTTCCATACAAAGTGTGAAGCAAATTGGTTTGTTTTACTTACATGATTTTTTTAACTAGGTCTACTTGGAAAATGTGTGTGTCACATGTGCGCTGCTTGCATGTGAGCGTCGTGCACATTGGGCACCTTCATTGGAAATGACAAACTAACACCCTAAGCTTATTGGCATTGCTTCCAAGGAGCATGCTCGGCAGCTACATTTTAATAAAACTACTGTATAGCGCTTTATACCAAACTTTTTTTTAATCGTTTTTGACAATGGTGTTTAGTAAATCTATACTAATTTTATCACCAAGCCCTATTTGTAATTTCTAACCAATCAATAAAAATTAAGTAAATATGCAATATGTTTTTGTCTATATGAATGCAATGTCTATAGGAATTTATTTGGCAGAATGGTGAGGTGTCTAAATGAAAGATTACTGAGGTTAATGCCAGCAGGAGTCATTCATAATTATACTTATAATATTATTTATGTATTTAATTATTCAAATATTGCTTGTTGAAATAAAAAATGCAAAAGCGTTGACAGAATATTATTATTAATTAAGTTGCTTTGGTAGGCACTAAAGGGGCAGTGAATAACATTTGTTTAGCCTTGTATTGATTAAATCCGTGAGTTTCATGTTGTATCTATAAGAGACAAATATGTTTGAAACATGGATGCAAATAAACTTTTAGATCAAGCAAAGCTAAGTTAAAAGCAAGAGGTAATCCAACAATCATTTACACAAGTAGTCTTTTTAGAAACAACTAATCAATCAGTCGACTTATCAAAAGTTAGATCCATTTTCAGAGTTAATATGAGGCATTTAGTAGCAAGCTCAAAAACAGAGTATGTTAATTAGATTTTTAAATGAAATCTGTTATTAAAAGCAGTCATTTGTGAATTTTTCCAAAAGTTAAAGGTGCAGTGGGTGATCTGCCAAAATTATATCCGTTAGAATAATAGCTTTGAAAACACAGTCGCTCCCCTGCCGTTCAAAGCCACACCTTCTTAAATGATTAATACACGGCTTAAAGATGACAGTACACAACCCACTCGATCACGCCATTCGCCAGATAGAAAACTTCATCATAACTTTAGCTATATATAATTCTACAACTTCGAGCGAAAAACTGTATTTATCCAGCATGTTTTCAGTTGTGTAGCAGGCAAAACATAATGCGCAACATTTCATGCATGCAAGGATCACTGGTCTCACTTTCACACATGCTTTGTCCTAAAGCAACTACTGTATGCTTGATGGTTGGCTGGCAGTGTGCAGAGATTACACTTATAACTAAGTCATACTTGCATGTTATTTCAGACTGAATATTCAGAGTGGTATGGTAAATATATGTAGCGCGTCACAAGTTGTCATTGTTCAAAAAAGAACCAATGTGATGTGAATATAAAACCAACTTAACCTCAGTAAAGCAGGCTATGTGGAATAGCACTATTTACTTATGTTTTGTTGTTAAACTAAATTTAAAAAATCTACATTATCGATGCAGTAAAAGGACCTTATGAAACTGAAAATAGTCACATCAATCTTTTACAGGAAGAATTTAGAGGCTGAACAACACTTCTGTGCAAATAACCCATTCATAACACAACAAAATCTACATAAGCTTTGCATGACTAAAAGTGTTTTAAAACATAACATTACCTGTCTAATAGGGCTGTGCAATTAATTGAAAATCCGGTTTCAATTTTAATTTTGGCTTCTAATGATTATGAAAAAACATTAATGGAGATAAACGATTATTCCATCATATACCACCGGCTTTCCAGTTGTACACATTTGTTGCTCTGCAAAGCTCAGTTCCACGTGGAAATGAAAAAAAAGCATGCGCTGTACTGTAACTTTTGCAGCACAGGATGGCATCATTCGGATTTTTAAAAGCGCGAAAGAGCACGTGCTGTTGTGTGTGTGCACGCCTCGCCGCGCTTAGCCTCGGATGGGTAGTGTGTACGTGTGTGCGCGCACCACGCTTAGCCTCGGACAGCAGAGGACACACACATCTAACGGCATCTTAATGTGAGCGATTTAATGGTTAAATACACGCACATTTGTGTCAGAGCCCAGTGTTTACTGATTATTTATATTAACCCTCATTTGTGTAATAAACAAACAAGTTGTGAATCAAAAGACATGTAAAAGAGAAACCATATCAGAGCCACACTATTCTTAAAGTGACAGCGTGCGATATTTCTGCTGCTGACTGTTTTTATTATTAATCACAAGAAAAGGACAAAATCAATCACTGCTTTTGACTGAAGGACTTTTGAAGCTAAACTGTTTTTCTAACAGTGAAGATGCTTAAAACACAATGCTTTAAACATAACAGATTTAATAACTAATTTCTAATGACTGATTTATTTTATCTTTGCTAAAATGACGGCACAATATTTGACCAGATATCTTTCAAGTTACTAGTATTCAGCTTAAAGTGACATTTAAAGGCTATATTAGGTTAATTAGGCAAGTCATTGTATTAAACAGTAGTTTCTTCTGCATACAGTCAAAAATATATATTGCTTAAGGGGCTATTAATATCAAGCTATTAAAATAGGTTTTAAAATATTTATAACCTGAATTTATTTTAGCTGAAATATTACAAATAAGCCTTTCTCTATAAGAAAAAATATTATAGGAAATACT